TTCCCTACCAAGACATGGTCCTTCCCATTCATCCTGAAGAGAGGATAGACCAACCACCTCTTGGCAACCCTACTTTTATGGCACCCTAGCAAAACAAAGCAAGTAACATGAGCTATAGAATTGATCCACACTAAAAACATGTTTTTGCTAAACTTTCTGCAGTGGACAGTGATTACATCCCCTAAACTGTTCTACTGTTTTGATGGCCCTCAAAATACTGGAGAACCCAAGAGCCTGTCCTTAAACCTTCCTGCATCTGGAACAGGACACATATTAGCAGAGAACACACTGCTACCTGTGACGTGAGAGGAACTGGTGTCCTTGCTCTCCCGGTGGGTCGTACGTGCAATTGCTTCATCCATCTCCTGTTCAGAAACCTGAAGTCAAGTGGAAGATAAGAGATCAAACCGGGAAGATGAAGATCAAAGTGTGACCATTTATCACTACAGATACATGAATCATTTCAGATATGGTACTGTTTTTAAAGATGCAGTAAAGAAGACCTAGCTGTCCCGGTGCGCTGCTTCAGACTCCCTCCATGACGCTCTCCTGCAGAAACCAGTAGGCAGAAGCCTGCTGACTTCATGAAGACTGCATCCAAGTGCCACATTACGCAAACAAATAAAAGAGCACCAGACTGAAATCATATTAGGCCATTACAGCACAATTTTAACTCAATTAAGTGCTGTACTTTGATTTATTGAGAAAATATTAGTTTAAAATAGACAAAGACTGCTTTGTACAAGCATACATCAGCAACATAAGATATTCTGCACGCAACCCACCGGAAGAATAGCAGACTTCCTGAGATACTAGCTGTCTTTTTAATTTTTGTTTCTCCTTTCTTTTGAAAAGAAAACCTAAATTAGTTAATTTTAATGAACATTTCTCTGTTTAAGTATAAATACTGTTTTACCATATTTACTAATTTTGTCCTGAATTAATGCTATGCACTTAATTCTTATTAATGGAAAATTCCATAAAATTTTACAACAGAAACAACTATTCTGCAGGAATATCTATTTGAAAACTGAAAGCAAGGTAATTCTGTGGAATATAACTTCTACACACATTGCTTTACCTGAATTAAAATTCAGCATAAATAAAGACTAGAAACTTGAATCTTTCTGAACATTTAACATCCAAAATATTCCTAAGCAAACTCAGCAGTTTAAAAATACTTTAAATGCCACATTCACTCAGAATAACAAGAAGAAAGAATATTTTGTGGTATTTCTCTTGGAAGTACATGAGAACACCGAACTGAACATATTCAGCAACAAAATGTACTGTAGACCTTTTGTGTCATAAAACGAGACATTAAGTATAAAAATGTCTAAAACAACACAAGCCTTTGTAGAAACACATCTCTGTTTTCAGCCCTTAGCATGACCTTACAGCAAACCAAAAGCCTCCAGGCTCCTGGGGCACAGGGAGTTCCTACAGGACATGGACCAAGCCCTGGCAGTGTGCTCCAGGACCTTTACACAAACCTTTGGGTACAAGGTGTCCTAAGAGTAAAACTAGGTGCTGGGCAGACTGCTGTATTTCTTTAAAGCTAACTGGAAGTCCACACTTTTGCAAGCTCTGCCTATTTTGATTTTTAGCATCCTGTACTCCTCAAACAGATGAAACTGGAGAGCTAATTCCTCGCTACCATCGGCAGGCTGGGGCATTACTGAGAGCTACTAAAATAAAATATAAAATAAAAAATCACACACACTTCTGTAGATTCCCCCAGTGCATTATTGAGAGCTAATAAAATAAAACATAACATGAAAATCCACACATTCTTCTGTAGATCCCCTAGTGCTGTCAGGAAAAAGGGAGACAGAGACATGATTATAAAGACCTCATATGGACACTTACTGAATAACTGAGAACTTAAGTATTGCAAATACTTTCCATGACATTTATATTCTCTCCAGCTTTTTTTTTTTTTTTTTTTTGCATTTCTTGGCAAAGGTTTTGTTGTCATTTTAAATATCACTTATGAAAAACTGTAATAATGTGCCACTTAATAGTTTCCCTCTGTTACTGAGTAATAGCAAGCAATTAGCTTAACTCCGTTCATCTTCTCAGCAGATACCTAGTTAGGTCACTCATCAGCTTTCAAGCCACCACCACAGCAAGACGAAGGATGGAGGAAAAGAGGGCAGGCTCCACTCCACTCCATAGAGTTTTTATTTCATGCTACTTACAGACTCTCCAAAAAGTCTACATGCTTTAATAATGTAATCAAATTGAACCATTGTGCTGTTCAGTACAGGATACAGCCTCTCTAGAAATACTGTTATCTTAGGCTGTAAGCCCAATTCTTATCCCTTCCATGCTTACCTTTTAGCTAACAGAGCCTCAGCTTCTTTCTTTTTAGCAGCACAAGGCCTCACAGCAATGATAATAAACTCTGGGCAGCAGACCCTTATTTGTCTATTGTTTGTGTATTTGATTTAGTAGCATATATGCAATTAATTATAAAATAAGAAACTTGAGTTATCCGAGATACGGATTTATTAAGGCCTCTATTTGTAGTTATGAGTTCAAAAGTCAGAGCTCTCTGGACCCACTAATGCAAATATTTTTACAGCTTCTTTCTTGTTTAAACAGGAAGGTTTTGTACACTCATAAAATTCTTTGAAATATTGAAAGAAAAGAAGTTGTTATTCCCTATAGCTTGGTGAAAAGGCTTTTATCTTCTATCACCAATTTTTAAAATATTGCTTGCAAATACTCACTTTGTAAACATAGTCTGATTTCCAAATTTCCCCTGCACAGATTTCACAGTAGCAATACATTCCAGATTCTCATGTTTTAATTCCTGAAGGAAAACTTTGATCTTTAGACATACTTTACTTTTCTAAAAACAGTATTCCTGCTACTTTATTATAGGTGATCAGTTCAATCTGTTAATGTTTATATTCCTCGCCCAAAATTATACTGTGCTCAAAGATAAATTAATTGCAAAATAACTTTTAGGAGGAAGAGGACTTGTGCCATATTTGTGTTGCCACTTGGTCCAAGTACTGAGAAGGATGGGAACACTTCAGTCAAGCAGTTCCAGGAAAACTGCATTTGATCAGTGGGTGATTAACTGAAAAGCAGCAGGGACAGTCCAGCCTTGCTACAAATTAAAAAACTGAAAGGCATCATTACAATCCTGACTTCTTGCACAACACATGCCATAGAGAGAAAAACCCAGCGTTCTCTATTTGCTGCATTCTTGACAGCAAGAATCAAATCACTGTGCCAGATGCAAACCATGCAGATCCGCCAACATGTTTCTTCCTTACCTTTGGGTTTGGGTGCCGACTAATGATGAGGCTGACGGGACCTGGACCACACTCGCTCAGGATGGCGTAGGCTTCACTCAGCGCCGCATGGCGCAGACTCACCGAGTCTGCCTCCAGGATCTGGTCACCCCGACTGAAAAGAGACACAGGGCCAGTTCATCCCAGCCGCCTTTTGCAAGAACATTTGTGCTTTCAACTGATGGGCCAAACTTTTTCAAAGATACAACTGTCTGGAAAAGATCTGACTTGCAAGAAGCCAGGCTTGCTCTTGGTTCCAGTGACGTGAATGCTTTTAAGTCCTGCTGACTTCACAGGGGAGGTCCAGAGATTCCTTCTGAACTTACCATCAGTGCTACAAGCCCTAGTAAATCAACAGAGAAAAGTGCCTGCATTTGGACCGAGCTGAAAGCAAAGTTCAGCTCCAGTTCTGTATTCTGATACTTGTTGCATACAGAAGAGGAAAAATTGGATTCAGATGGGCTGCTCCCTTCCATCCTATTGAGTTACTTAACACAAACACTGATAAGAAATTCATTATTTAGATACAAGTTTATGAAATGACTCCAGGAAAAAACTGAGCATGATAAGCTTGTATTTGCTTCAAATTAACATAGAGAAACCATTAAAAAAAACCCAACAAAACAAAAATTAAAAAAAAAATCTTCTTCTGAAAGGAAATCACAGACAGCACAGACTGTTTAGTTTTGTTTTCACAATTTCTTAACTCCCGCTCATGGTACTCAGACATCTGGAACTATTCAAAAGAAAAGATCATCAACTAGGGATATCATTAAAGCATTCTCCATAATTAGTAAAGCATTTGCTTTAAAGACACACTCTCAAACAATCCACTACTGCTGATTCATGTTGGGTTACTTGTGACAATGGAAATGAGATTGCGCTGTGAGTCCATACGCCAAAGGCAAAATGACAATTACACACAGCAGCTTTCAGTAACCTGTACTTCTGGTACATCCTTTATGTTTACACAGCTCTTATAAACTACACAAATCAAGTAACTTAAGACAGGCACGTGATTGAGAATGGGAGCTCAGAAACAGGAGAGATGGATTCAAACATCTTCTGGTATTACAAAGCCAGTATTTGACTAACGAATTTTTTAAAAAATTAAAACCATCCTGTTATGTTTTGGCTTGTTGAGCCATAAACCACTGATGGGACAACAGAAGCAATGTCTCTAAGAACCAAGCAAAAATCTGGGAAACATGCCTGGATATAGTCCATCACTTAAAGCTACTAAATGATTCAGCTGTTACATACAGACGTAACCAGCACTGCAATCTTTTCCAAAGAGGCTTGGAAGAAAGCAAGTAAGCATTAACTGCTGTCTCCTATATACATTTCTATATGGTAAGAACTTCCAATGGTTTTGGCAGGGATGCCACCACAAAATCTTTTCCCCTTATTTCAAAACAATCAAATTGCTCTATCACCGTTCTCCTGGTGAGCTAGGAAACAGAAAGGCACAGTCTACCCACATGAAAGCTCAGCCTCCCTGCACCAGTCCTCAGGCCACATGTTCAGTAGGATCATGCAGTCCCAGTGGGTCCTCAGCACAGCCTCTCCTACCAAGCCATGCTCCCAGCGCCCACAAGCATTTATGCAGAAATGCAGAAAGGTGGAAGATGGTTTTTAAAAGTGAAGCCTCCAAGAAAGGAAGAGCAAATAACTTCCTGTCACTTGATCCAATGTAAAGCACAAGGGAGCCCCAGGAATGACTGCTTCTCCTTCTTAAGGATCCTTAAAGACATCCAGACTCCAAGGCAGAGTAAAGGAGACAGGCAGGTCAGCCTGCAGCAATCCCACCAGACAGCAAGAGTAGAAAAAGCACTGCTGAAGCCATGGGCACAGTCAGTTGCAAAAATATCTTTCCCATTTAAGAGGCTTTCAGGTGACTGAACTTCAAGGAGAGCTCTGCAAATTTCCTTCCCATTTGGGGTCTCTGGCTGCAGCTCTCATAAAAAGGCATGAGACTGCACTTCTTGCTGCTCCCCTTTCTCAAAGGCTGCTATTAGGCTCAGCTTTCTGTAGAGAATTAAAAAAATCCACAAACTTTAATGATTGTACTGCTTCCAACACAGAGAATAATGCTTCCCGGGTATTTAATACTGCTTTGGAATGTCTTTATTTAAATGTTTTCTTTCTGGTGAACTCTTAAGTATAAATCCCCTCCCTGCTACATCAACCAATTGGTGAGAACAAAGCCTCAACCGATTTTATTGTAAAACCACTCCAGCATGTTTTTGCTTTAACTAACCTTAATCTGCCATCCATTTTAGCCACAGATCCTGGGGCCAGGCTGTGAATATATATCCCTGGAGAACTGTTTTCCAGAGTGAGACAACAGGCACCAATGCCGAGCCCAACCCCTGGCTCTGTGAAAAACAAAACGTACAAAGAGAAGTAGCAGATTATAATCACACAGGACATGCAAGTGTTTGTGTTCCCACATCCCATCCAAGACCGCAAGTCATGTATTGTTTCAGGGCTGGCCTTAGGTGCAGTCAGTCAGGAAGCCAAGACCAATAGTGGAAATCAGCACTGAAAATATCTGATCCTGACTGTTTTCAGAGATCCATCACTCCCAGTAAATTTTCTGTGTGCCGTGGGAACGACCTGGAAATGTTGCACAATGTCTGATCTGGTCCACGGCACAAAGGAAGGGGGGCAGCAATCCAATAAAGATGTCACTTAAAATTATTGCAGAAAACTTGATCACAGAAGATGCTGCCAATTTTACTGCTCTCTTTTGTTAAACAACTGCATGAGGCATGAATAAAGGTGAGGCATTATCTCGGTTCAGTGATTACCTCTGTCCACTTCCACCTTTGCTTTTCTTCAGGTAACAGCATTCCAAAAGGAGGAATTGCTGGACATTTTACCTTCTCTCTCCAAATTTTTATTCCAGCCTTTAAAACGAGCATATTTTAAGCCTTTAAAGTAGGCACATTTGTTCCATGACATATAGCATATGGTCTAAGTTTATCTTGTGCATTTATTGACAGTAGGACCAACCATCAGGCAGAAGCACAAACAGCTCACCTGGGCAACTCTGAGCACTCTGCGCGGGTTTGCCTTCCCCAGAGCTGCCCTTCACCAGGAGGGCATGGCCATCTGGGCTGCTGAGAAGCTGATTCACATTTTGCTTAGGTATCCCACAGCTTCCCCCTTTCAGCAGCGTGGACACTGAGTGCTATGTGTAAGAATCTGCTGACTCTGGAGCAGCAAAATGTAGAAGGGGAAACTCTGCAGAAGTTTTTGTATTAAGAGCATGTTCTTCTCCCCCATCCTGTGGCTCAATATTAGAAGGACACAGGTAGGTGCCCCAGATGTTGGGAATCTCCAGTCTATTCTCAAAAAAACTCCCCTCAGAAGCAGGGATTCATTCCCCAAGCCCGTTTCAACTGACCCTCACCTTTATTGAGCGTGACGTCCATGACAATCCTGTCTTTTGGACCGGGTCCTTTGCGGCTGGAGGAGGAACCCTCAGGCTCCTCGGGGCCAGGGCCCGGCATTCCAGCGCTGGAGCTGGGGGAGCTGGAGCGGCTCAGCAAGGTGGGAGTGGCGCAGGGCGTCAGGCTGGGGCTGCGCAGCCGCGTGCGCACCGTCAGGGTCACCACACCTTTCTTGAGTTGCTGGAAAGACACCAGAGAACCCCACTAAGGTGAGACGATACACCAGCATTTGCCAGCCAACCTGCACACAGTGACCTGTGGCAGCAAAGGAATACAAAGCCCAAGATATGAAGTGGCACCGAACAAGAAGAAGTGTGGATCTCCCTCATACTACTTCCATGTTACCTTAAACCTCTGAATGGCCTCCTGATGGGTCAGTCCTTGCAGAGACTCTCCATTAACTTCTAGGATTTCATCCCCTGGTAATTAGATACCAAAAAAATGAAGTCAGGAACATACAGACCATAGAGATGTAAAAAAAACCCTTTGTGTACAAAAGACGACCTGCTACTATGAGTATTCCAGTTAACTGCTCAGTAAAAAGCCTTTTACTGTTCTCAGCTTATTTTCACTTGACCTAATGTCTTTGTGAGTTAATAGTGATGAATTAGCAGAGTAAAGACTGTTCTTTAGGAAACATTGTTAATCTGGCATTCTCATACTAGCAAACAAGCTGAAAACACTATGGATTTTAACTGAGGTCTGGAAATAAATGCTTATAACATGAAGTCCAAAGTGACCATAAAATTCCTTCTTTTGTGAGCAACAACAGGAGTAATGACAATCTAAGTGAAACATTGCAGCACATCACTCCAAAGCCAGTTCAGACAAAACTAACCATACATCCATGAGCAGAAAGCAAACATTTTATCTTACTAAATACCCATGGACAGAGAAGTGTGTAGCCCACACGCTGCAATAGCAAATGCCCTTCGCACCCCAACGAACACGTCCCATCACATTTCTACCTACTTCCAGGAGCTGGGTCGTACTAGCTATACACAGCAGTGTGGATCTACTTTATCAAAAGGAGAGTCAGCATGATTCAGATCCACTTTCTGCAATTTTACTTGTATCTGTGCAAAATCAGATGTGGTGATGTCCTCAGCCAAGTCTACCCCTCCTCTCCCTGCCTAGCTTCATTGAAAAAAAGAGTATGTGAGCCCTGAATAGCTTGCAAAGGCTTGCTGGGTTTATGGGACAGCTGCTACTTATTGGCTTCCCGTGGCAAGTGCACAAACCTATGCTGCGGGGACATGAGCTTCCCTCTGACAGCAAGTGTGAGAATTGGCACCAAAAGCAGCTTCAAATACAACAACTGTGATGAGATGCAAAGAGGAGAATGATGATTATGAGAAGTAAGACAGAAGCAGCTTGAGAGAAGTGACACTGGAGCAGCTTTCTGTGAAAGAGAAGTAATGCAGCTCCTGCAGAAGAGTTGCAAACTACTGCTCTAAACTCACTGTCACTTCGTGTTTTCAACAGTGTGTAACTGTCTGTCTGGCACAGCACTCGAACCAGGGTGGAAATACACACAGAAGAGCTAAATGTCCAGCTCAAAGATCAAGACTGGAAAAGCAGTAATGAAATCAGGATATATTCGCTTCCTAACCAGCTGGGTGATCCTACTGCCAATCTCATCCTTCCTTTTCTTATTCTGGTTATGACTCTTGTTGATTCATATCAAAATCATAACAAGAGGCTCAGAGAGCACAAGGGCCCAAAAACAGCTTCTCCCAAGCACGTTCCTCTGCATAAACCCTTCTTGGATCAGCACCTTTCAGACAGATGTTGGTTGGATAGACATATTTCACTGCTATCAATGATCCCCTTCAACCAAAGAATTGCAGCTTACGGCTTAGGCATATAAAGTTAACTGAAAATTATAGGAAAAAAACCCAATCATTCTCCCCATTTCAATATGCAATATAATCAAGTTAATTGCTATGAATTATCTTCCTGGGGACCAACAAACAGATTGTTTTACATTCTCATCAGCCTCTTACTGATGGCAAAGTGCCTAAATAAAGCTGTACTTGAATTTTTCTGGTGGATTGAAATAAAACCCACTGTGATCCCTTATATACAGTTGGATTCTCTCTACCATACCTTCTTTAAGCCTTCCATCAGCAGCTGCTGCTCCATTTGGGAATATAGTCTTCACGAAAATCCCCATGCGTCCACGAGCAGAATCCTGACCTCCCACTATGCTGAATCCAAGACCCTACAGAAAAGGGTGGGGAAGACACACAGCTGGCACCTTATTCTACTATCACCTGTGTGAGAAAGTATGCCCATAGCATACAAGACAAAGGAAAGATGAAAACCTAAATGCTCCTGATGAATTGCACTGTCATCTTACTCTATGCTTGTATTTCCTCATTTACTTTTGCTCTAACATCAACACACTGATCAGCCCAAAAAGTAGCAGCAGGACCCTTTAGCTGAAAGAGCAAAAAATGTTATTTCCAAATTACTTTTTCTGTAAAAAACCACTGTGTCCATGGCTTTATGTTGCCCTATTCCCATTTCAAAAACTGTAACATATTGCTTTTAAATTGACAGACAGTAGATTCCCACTGCTGAGATCTATATCCAGGATTAACTGCAGTTTTCTCTGCTGTCACAGATCCTGCATTTCCTCAGGAAAACGAAAAGCTTAAGCACATGACATTAGGTCAGTACTGTAATGCCAGGAATGCAGCTGGAAGGGGGCTGGTGTGGGGGGGCTGCCATGCACATGAACATTTGTAATTATTCTGGAGACATGCACCATGTTGTATTTAAATAAATCTATATCAATAAATTCCCCAGGGCTCCATCTAGTAGCTCTTGCCCCTGCACTGCCCCAGCTGGCTGCGGGACTGCCTTGAGAAACTGATCAGTGAATGGATGAGCACAGCAGAATGAACCTCTACCCCCTTCTGCTGAGTTATTTCCCAGCCTAATCACTTCCTTAATCCATTTCACCCCCTCCCCCTCCATATTTCTCTTTTCACTGCCGTACATGTATTTGACAGAATAAAGAGCAAAGTCACTGACCAGGTGGACAAGAGAAGTGGAAAACTGTTGTGCTTCAGTGATCTGAAGCCAAGGTTATTATTAGTGCTCTCCAGCTGAGTAATGCTGCCAGGGCAGGGACTTACACTGTGTTTACAGCCCAATACAACAACCAGCTCTTTTGTTTTACTCTGTGAATATAAAGTAGACTACCACAGTCATGAGCTTCTAATTTGGTAAGACATTACTGATGTCTAGAAAGGAAGCATCCTAGCTCCCCCATGCAACACAAAATAACTGTTCACTGTGCAATCATCAACTGCAACCTACAGAAAGGAGGCTGGCTTCCAGCCACCAACACAGCAACTCTGTGGAAATACTTTTCAAGTCCCAGGTCCACACAGAGATACAAAAGCAAATGTTACTGCACAAATTATACACAGTGCAACCCCTAACAGAGCTGACCACTCACTCAGGTGAGTGGGAAGACACACAAAACAGCAGCTGTTTGTGGTGGTTCATGATCACTAGAGTCTGCATGCTCCCAGCTGCTTCCTAATGCCTTGGAGCTAACATCAGAAAGGCAGGAGAAGGTGGCTTAAAAAAAAAAAAAAAAAAAAAAAAAAAAAAAAGTGAATAAAAAACTAATAAATATTTCCTTGGAAATGTCATGAAAGACCTGAAGTTCCAAAAACAAGAAGTTATAGCAACGGTGAGTCAATCTACCTAGAGAAGACACTTTTCAACTCTTTGCTAAACTTAAAGCACAACAAGGAATTTGTTTTGTATTTGCACTTGAAAGTCAAAACAAGTCTTTTTAGTCCAAAACATATCCATCTGATGAATTTAAAGAGTATTTCAGAAAAAGACATGCATATTTTTAGCATATTTCAATGACAGCTCCAATACCAGTGTGGACTGGATTTGGGAAAACAATATACAATATACACCTACTTAATTCTTGTCTATTTTCCCTCAGAATTCAGCCAGCTGGTATCTCACAAATGCGCAAACAAGTTATTGAGGGAAAAAAAAGAGGATTCTTTGACCCAAAGAATTCAGTGCTCTCAGATAAGTAATCAACCAAGAACTTGTTTTTGGGTTTAACGCTTAATTTGCAGTGGGTTTTTTTTAATGTATCCAGATTCCACAGAGGTAAAATATGCTTGTCCATAAATAAGCATGCAAACAGGTACTCTTCTGTAGCTGTATCGAGTTTGCATAAACATACATATTTATAGATCCATTATTAATATTTGATACCTCAGTAACGACCAGATGCACCAAATCAGAACGAAAGCCACCCTGCGTCAAATGTGTGACATCTCTCCCATATTTTGCAGGTTTGGAATTCATGTTTGAAAATGGGATTTGTTTATCAATATTGTTATTACTTTTACTGGCTACCTTGTGAGCTGCTGGAGCATAGGAGACACCTCCTAAACACCAGCTCTTTCTACATGTCAGAAACCACCCACATGCAGAAATCCTCACCTTGCCCTGCCCTTTCATCAGGACGATGTTGGAAATGATGGACGGCTGGGTCAGTCTCCATGGAGATTCCACTTGGGCAGCACTGAAGGAACGTGTAGACTTCTTCACAATGTGGTAGTCCTAACAAATATTAGCAAACAAAGGAAGGCACTCTGATTGCTTGGCACAGGCACTGGGAGATCATGCCAGGAAAACTGCATGTGTTGGGGAAGAGGGATGGGAGAACCTTACAGATATATTCAGAAAAATGTTCAAGGGATGAAATCCTAACTCATTACAGTCAAAGTGAATCTTGCCACAGTAATTTTCCTGCATTTCGCACAGTAGGATAGTTTTGTAATGTACCAGCCACATTTTAAATTAAAAAGATTAAGGGTAGTCTCATGATAATCATCAAATGATTAAAATGAAGAGAAGTAGGATTTTTTTAAAGTCCTTAGATCTCTAGAACTGCAACTCATAAAATCAGCCTTAGGACCCTCTGGCCACAGCAAGAAGTACTCCCCTTCACCCTCCTCAGACCAAAGAAGGTCTCCATAGATGACCAGCACATCCCACTCCAGTATCCAGGCCAAGCTGCAGTCCCTGTGATGTACCTACATGGCCCTGCTTCACCAACTTTGCTTCTATGAGCTCCAGACAGAACTCGGAAGAACTGGGCACAGCGAGGTGCTCAGAGCCAGTCCTGCCTTTCCACCCACCTGCCTGGCTCCTGCTGACTCCAGTTGCTGGGGCAGAGAGTGCTTTCTTCCACCCCGGGAATATTTCACTGCTATTTCGTAATTCGATTCACCATTTTCCACCGTCAGCTCGTCATCTTCTCCCACGGACTCCAAACGGGATCCAGCACCTAGGGGAAACCACAGAAACACATTTCACAAACATCTCAGAGCTGCTTTACCCTCTTGCCAGCACACAATAATTGCTTCCTGTAAATCCCAGCTTAAGCAGTGCCTTAAAACAACACTATACATTTTCCAATCAGGCGGTTAGAAGCTAATTTTGATCATCATCACTTAAAGACTTCTCCTGGTGTCACAGGTTTTCCATCATCTTTCAGTGATGCTGAACTCCTTAGTGCTGTCACTCATGGTAGTAAGGAAAACCAGAAGATAATTGAGCCAGTAGCTCAGGGATAGAAAATAAATTCAGCTGTTCTCACCCAATGGCACTTGCCAGTGCACTAAGCTCTCAAACTTCATTTATTTAAAATTAAAAGACCTGACACTGTAACAGTATTCATTTCTGGAGGTGTCATATCACTTTGAGGGAAATTTTTCTGGAAAGGAAAAAGGAAAAATGTGCCAAATAAACGTTATTTTCTTTCCTTCTGGCAATGATCCTAGTTGTCTTAAGGAGCAGAAGAGTGCAGAGCTCACATTAGAAACAGAATTATTTGTCTTGAAGGACATCCTGTAATTAGCTGCAGCATGCCCTGCTCCTCACACTAGGGCTCCTCCAATTCTCATTTTCTCCAGGGTCCCCACAGGACCCACAGTCACAGCAGTTCCTGAACATTTATCCTTGCCATTTCCCCCACCATGCAGGGAAGGGACGTTAACCCCTCTTTTACAGATGAAAACACAAGATACAGGCAGGCCAAATTCACACAAGCTGGATTTCATGACGTGGTTAAGGTTACTTTAAACAAAGACTAAGCTGGCCCTGCCACAGAAAGGGGCAACTCTGCTTTCCTGTCATCCTCACTGCCCTGTCCCTACCCTGGGGATGGGGCTCACAAGCCATGGGCTGAGGTACACCTGCTGCAAATTTGAGGAGAGCCCCCAAACCCACTTTATGTCACCTCCTCCTCACCTGGAGGCTGTGCAAGCATCACTGCCAGTACCAGGGAAGGATGGAGCAAAGAGCTGGGGCAGCTGTTTGTTTTCACTCACCATTAAAGCTATTTTGCCACCACATCCACAGACAGCATTTCTACTCACTGCCCAGGGAGTAATTTAAACTGACTCATTCTTTTGGGGTGTGGAATTACCTCTGGTTTTAAAGTTCCCCTTCCCTGGGCACCTCTGCTACACAAAACCAGGACAGCTGCCTTGAGAGGACCCAGCACCCTGGCACTTCTGCACCTACAACCACCCCATTCCCGTCACCTCTCCCTCTCTTCTTCTAAGAGAACAGTCATATTTCTATGTTTTCTGCCCATCTCTGAATGCAGCTTCCCTTCCCATGCTGCAGCCCAGGCTTGGGACCAGGCTGGAGGATGTTCCCGACTCACCCACAGCCCAGGGGCATCAGTGCTTGATCCCCACTGAGCCACCAACACACAGCCTCAGGGGACACAGGCAGAGGAGCTCTTTGGAGCATGCTAAAAATATCTGAGTAAATGGAAATTAAGGTGAACGTAGGAGGGAGGGAGACTTGGAGAGTATTAGGGATGAAAATATGATTGAGCTCTGCACACAGGTTACTGTTAAAACCTGGGGACAAAGCAATAGAACATTTCAGGAGTATTCTCCATAATAGGTGTTTTGGTAATGGCATGTTCAATTATGTCCCCCACCTCAGTATTAGAACACATGGAAGCACGCGGGGTGTAAATGTTCAAAAAAAGAGAAACAGAAGAGAAATGAGGGGTAGGGGGGGCACAGGAGGAAAAGCTTCCAAAATTTTGCTTCATCTTTCTGTCCTTACAATAGCTCAACTCAGGAGGCTGAATGCAAATATCTTACAGTGGGGATTTTCCTTCCAAATTAAACAAATATGATCCCCAAAGGAAAGAAAATCTAACTCACTTTTAGAGAGTTAAAATAAATACACAACACAAAAATTCTATTATTGCTATCTTCTATCAACATGGCTTCACCTTGGGATCGACTTCTGTATTTCAGTATGCCACTTCCTAGAGTTGGACTCTGGTTGTTTCCTTTGGACACTTCTGTACAAACTGGATCTTGAGACTTCTCAGTTTCCATCATCTGAAAAGAAATAATAAAAAAATCCCACTGATTTACTTGTAAACCAGAGAAGTGGATGGAATACCTCTCACATTTATTGAGGGACAGAAAGTTCACATCACCTTTTTTTTCCAAAACATATCATTGCATTAAGCCATCACATGCTTCTGTAAGTAATTTTTAGCAAAGTCTCTGGAGACTATTGCAAGTCTTACTGATGAGTACACCTACAGCTCAGCCTGGTCAGGAGTTCTTTGCAGAGAACCACACTGATGTCCACAGAGTGCCTCCAGCATCCACTGCACTTCATTCAGATGCTTCCACACGCATTTTACCAAACTTTTTAAGTAGCTTTTGTTGTAGTGTGTTCAGCTCAGCATACTTCAGAGACTTCACATCTTTATATAGAAAACCGCTTTAAAGAAGTGTTATTTTTTACTGTTAGCGTCCGGAGTTGAATGCTGATGCATAATGGATGAAAAGCTAATTTAACAGAAAGTTATGAAGATTACAGAGCTGAGCAATCAAAAGCCTGGAAAAGCACAACACAGATTTACACACGAACTCGTAACCCCACCAACCTGAGTAAATGCACCATGTCAGAAGGAGTCTGTTGACCCACCATATTTCGCTAGATGCATGTGACAATACAAGGTGACAATATACAGGGCTGCCACCTTCTGCAGCATGGCCACACGCATCCATGCGGTCAGGGATGAACAGAGCTGCCCCTGTGCAAAGCCTGCAAAGACCCTCCCCAATCCATGCATTGTGGAAGACCCCAGTGACTTCCTTATCCACTCACTGGTGCCTTTCTTGAGGCTACACCAGTCAGGTTTTCCTAGACGTGCAGCTACACAGCAATCCTCAACACACACCCCCCACACACACTAATTCTACTTTTTCACCCCATCACCCATAGGATCACAGAATCATTAAGGTTATAAAAGAACTTTAAGATCATCAAGTCTAACCATCAACCCAACACCACCATGCCTACTAAACCATGACCTAAAGTGCCACGTCTACATGTTTTACGAACACCCCCAGGGATGTTGGCTCCACCATCTCCTCTCCTATTACTTGTTAATGGGCAGAAGAGACCAACATCCACCTCATTGCAGCCTCCTTTCAGGTAGCTGTAGAGAGCTATAAGGTTGACAAGAATTTCACATATAACCACTGACTGGTTAATAGGACTCATCCAAAGAAGAAAATAACTAAATGAGTCTGAGCAAACCAGGGCTTACAATTTGGCCATCCCAATGAGGGACCTACCACAGAAAACATGTAAGATACCCCATCAAAAAACCCACCCAAGAGACTCAAACCACCAGAGATCAGGCCATAGCTGAAGTACCACAAACTCTACTTAGGAGAAACAGAGATTCCTAAAAGACAACAGAAGTCTTCAGAACTGAGCTGGGACTTCACAGATCGCACAAAGTCACACTGGAATTTACGATGTAAGCAAAAACAGCTGTTACAAGGAAGAATGCCTCCCTTGTAGAAACGTAGAAATCACTTGTAAAAACACACAAAAATAATGTAGCTGGTGATATTAAACATGTGCAAAACAACCACTACTCAGAAGCAGTCTTTGCTCTCTGGTGGAGAAATATTTTAAATCTAGGGATGGAGAAAAACAAGGGGGGACACAAAACCAAAGCAGCCAGCTTCGTCAGCATGCTGTTTATCCTAGCAGGCAGGGATGGGTTCAATCTCACTTTTCTAGAGCTGTGCACAACCCAGTTCGAGTCCAGAGCTCTAGAGCTGCTTTACATGCATGCACATGGGTAGTCACACCTGGTGAGACCACACAGCTCCCAGCTGGACCACCTCATTCACCTCAGCACATAGGAGAAAAACATGAGTTAGTCTGCAGCAGCTTACAGAGGGATGCTGAAATCACCACTGCTGTGGCCAATTTCCACCCAAGCCTGGGCTCAAGGGCAAACTATTCAGTACATCTTCTGTCTCTACTACATGGGGTTTGGATCTGGTTTAGAGCTTTTTTGCTTTTATTTTATTTTGAATGTGCAGCAGAAGCAAGTACACAGGCATTCTGCAATTAGATACCTTTGTATCTAGTGAAGTGAGAGTAAGAACATGAGGCAATTGCCACTTGCCTTAAAACAGTGCACCTCTTGCCTTCACCTCATCACTGCTTAGCCTACAAACAGCAAACCCCCAAGCCCCAAGTGTGATCTGCAGAGAGCCATGTGTGGGCAAACAATGCAAAGGAAAGCCTTGAGGCATTCTCAGTGGCTTCCTGAAATTACATTTTATGCAACTTAGATTTAGACTACAATAAGAAGTAAAAATATCTGAATTACCTTTGTCTATGTTTATTTCTTATTTTAGCAAAAATACCTGCTTGTCACTATTCCTAAACACGCAGGGAAAGACACTCTAGCATTTGCAATTAAGTAGATATTCTTTAAGTTATTGAGCTTGTCTAACAAAACACCAAGAGTTTTATCCTACTCATAAAACCTTTAGAAATCCAATCCACAAAACTCCCTGAAGTCATGTGTCTGTAATCTTTGGCTCTCTTGAAACTTAGACAAGAAGAAAAATCCAGCTCCACCTTATCCCTCTGGCCACACGAATGTATCGCTTTACTGTCTTGAGGTGGCTGCCCGAATTTAACCGTGCCATTTTAATTTTCCTCACTTTCAAGGAAATGGAGCTTATTATTTCAGTTCTGTACACCTCTTATTAAACTAAACCAATAAATCCTGCCCAATGCCATTCCAGCATTAAGGACAAGGGGAGCTTTAATGGGCACAGTAGTTCGAAGGGAGATCTAAAAATAGAACCCATTTTGCCAGTTCATTAAGCAGCTCCAGGATCAAGCGACGGTGACATCTCAATTGATTTCAAAGGAAAACGGTGCTATCGCGGACATGCGGTCCTGGCATCACACCAGAATGAACAACTGCCCCCAGAGTCCTTGCTCGGGCAAAGCTCCAGCATGACCAGCCCCTAATTAGGCGAGATGAGGAGCAAGACTATGAGAGTCTGCATTGTTTAACCACAACAGCTTGGCAATCACCGCCGATCTACATAAACAAGGCGGCACATGGGATGACACAATTTAATAAGCAAACTGCTTCACTGCTGCCGCTGTGGAGCTCCTAAGCTGCTGCCTGTACCATCATCAAGCCCACCCGACTCCCCGCAGCACAGCCTGATGGCTTTCTCTGCTGAGAGCAGCACACAGACAAGTTTAACCAGACAGCTAGGGAGCAAAAGAGCAAGAGATAGCTCGAGCCATCTGTGGGATGCCAAATTCAGCCCCACCTGCACTGTCAGAAAAATACCACCAGCCAGCCCACTGCCCTCCTTCAACACAGTGATGAGAAAGAGGAACCACCACACCCCTACACATGGCAACCCTGCACAAGCTTCACAGGTTAAGTCCTCATCTTCTTCAGTCAGCTTATCCTTGATCAGCACTGCTCCAGATGTATTTAACCATAAGACACCCCAATGCCACTGTCTGTGGGCAGCCTGCAGGATGAGCCCAACACATCTCCATGAGCACTAGATCCTTCAGAGAATGGTCCAAAATGCCCAATGCAACTTGGGTTCACCTTGTCCCTGCACTGTCATTCTTCCTAGTACCTCAATGCCTTGATGGCTTTAGCTTTTCCAAAAGTTTTGTAGATTTTCTTAGAACATCTATTATAATTTTAGTTTTTCCAGTTATTTGTGTAATTATTTATTGCTTTCTAGGGCACAGCATGCTTTAAGCCGTAAATGTATCTGAGAGGCAGGGAGCTCCTTTTACCTCACACAGAAAGTAAAACACCTTCACTTTCAAATTAGCTCTTTTTCAATTTCATTGAATCCAATTCCCAGGTAAATTACAAACTACAGCACTATAATCTACCAGAATTAACACTGCAAATGATGCAGAGGACATGGATTTTCTAATCTTGGCCAGCACTGAGTTTTACATGGCTTACTGCTCGCTTTTAGGGCATTTAGGGCTTCATGTTGGCAGAGAAACTGAGTGTCCTGATTTGAAGCTGCCAGCGCAGACAGCAGCTCTGCACATCGGCCAGGACAGGGACCACCAGCACAGCTCCAGAAGGACTCAGATTTGGACTATATTTAGCAGTGCTGGTGAAACAAAGCACTGTCTGCCTTCTCCAGCAGCTCGTCTGGGAATTACCCAAGCCAATACCACCAAGTCCAGTCTCGGCTTCCTCTTGCCTGGATAAAGGGGATGGGAACCCGAGGCCTCCATTACCTCATTATAAAGAAAGTGTTGGAAAACTCCCACTTCATGTGCAGCAGGAGAGATCAGGAAGTCTGATAAAGACTCAAGAACTGGAACAGCCCTATTTTCTCAATAGGTGGAAACGCCAAATAAACAAAACAAAAGCCTTTAAAGTGGTCTCTAAAAACGCCTGGTCTATCACTCTACCAAAAGTCTGCACTCAAAAGCCACCACTGTAACACAGCACTTGCTAGAAGAGGCACTACTGTCAGATCCAGGAGGTACAGCCACCTGCAGTGGTTATTTTTATGGCTCTTTACCAACTCTGTAGACTAGTCACACACAAGCTTGCCTGCAAAACATAAACCGGCACTCCCCAACACAAAGCCAACACCACAAACCCTCAGCAAACAGACTGGAAACACACTGTGGTAGAGTCAAGTTGCTCTCATCTTCCAGAAGCCTCTGTATTGTACAAGACACCCCCAGAAACTTCTTCAACATGTTTGACACCTCAACGTGGTGACCGTGGCTCAGAAGACACCGCCAGGTTGTTGACGTAACAGGATCCCAGCTGCACTGGGACCACAGACTCACTGGTGCAATGTCATATTTATGGCCAGGGCTGCAGTTAAGTAAAGCAGGTTTCATTATCAGGTTTCCCAACAGTCACTAACATTATTATTTATGTTTTGAAGAGGCAAAACTTCAAAAACACCCTTTTAAATAGGAAGCAATGTGGGAAAAGGCTAATGCAGCTAAGAAAGAGATATCACAGAAAACACATGCC